TCACAGTAAATTGAGGATACTCTAAGGAGAATACAGGCATTCTAGATTGAGATGAACTTTCAGACAACCTAGCAACTCTGCCAAACTTGGGCTGTGAAAAACTTGATGTACTTTGTGATATTTTAGCAAGTCATGTTGTAATTAACTTACGCTGTCATGCAACTAAAAATTTCTGGGGCTTCCACTGTGCCTTCTAGATTGAGGACAAACACACTGTTTATGCAATTTATTTGACCATATTCCTCTATGGCTATCACCATTCTAAATCCATCAGTTTAAGTACTAGTTATATACTGAAAATACAGGAACACTCTTGTGGGGTGAAAGTTCCCTTTAAGATGACTTCATCTGGAATGATTTAGGTTCACAAGGACCCCAATATCTGGAAGCGATGCTGTGGTGATGGCGGCAAGCAGTTGAGGTAGTGGAAGGAAGAACCTCTTGGAAATTTGTCTGCGGTCATATGAGGTGGTAAATAATCGCATTTTGTGGTCTATGTTAAGATATAACTGCTTTACCCACTATGGCTTTAGCCTGGCTTGCCATTGTAATTCTGAGACTAAAGAGTTCCTTACCTATTTGGCAGTTGACCTAGAACTAGCATCTTGTATAGCGTGGGTATTTTAGACCAGTGAGCACATAGCTTGACACATTTTGCTATCCTGACTTTGTTTCCAGATCATCGTATAGAAGCAAGTTATAAAATATCAAAGACAGGTAACATCCTGATTTATATTATCTTGATTTCTGAGACTGGTGTAGCCTCATCTCCCCATTGCATGCTTATCCTGATGCAGAAAATTGCAGCTTTCTATTCCAAGCTACTCTCAAGTCTATGTTGACTACCTCCTGTTCCTGATCCTCCTATACTAGGGATCCCCTATTCTAGCTATCTACCTTTGTGGCTCAGATAAATTCCTTCATGGTGTGGTAGAAAGAAAGAGTATCAAGCAGATGCATCTAAGAAAATATGATCACTTTCATTCCCAATTTTCATTTTTTAATGATGACATTAACTCTGAAATATTTGTAATTTTCAACCAAGCACAGATAACTTCCAGATCTTGAGTGGAAAACAATAATAATGGTGATAATGATGACGACAAGTCTGTAAGAGATGGTACAGTACAGTGGTGAAGCCTGAGAGCCAGAAAACCTATGTTTAAATCTATTTATAAGCCGTATGACCTTGGACAAGTTAAGCAACCTCTCTCTGCTTTTATTTAAAATCTGTAAAATAGGGGTAATTGTACATATGTTACAAGGTTGTTGTGGAAATTACTTGGGTGTGGAAAACTGCCTGATGCATGATGTGTTCAGTGAACTTCAGCTGTTATTAAAAGCTATTGAAGATGGGTCATATGCTAATGTTACATGTTACAAAGGGACTGTGTTAGGTGATTTAAAGTATTCTGCAGAAGTAGGGTTAAAAAAAGATTTGGATAATCTATTTTCTGAATGTTTCTTGTTCTCATTTGTCTTTGTGCTGTGTCCATTAAATCTGATACATTTAATGGCAACCACCTTGCCCATAAAGCCAAAATATTCTGTAATCAGCTCTGCTATACCAATTTCATGAGTACTCAGCTCCTCAGCCCAGAATACCAATTGTGTAAAAAGTGCAGTGAATTCCAATTCACTTTTGATTGCAATGATCTGAACCAAACATGAAACCTAGTTGATCCAAGATGATTTGGGCTTTATAATTTTGTGCATTACGCTCAAAACAGGAGTATCTTTGAATTTAACATATTCTTCTTTTCAGAAAACAGAATTCTTTTAATTAAAAACGTTTTTAAAAATTTCAGTATGTGTAATTGTTAACACCTGCTATGTGTTACCAACAGATGTTTCTTACTTACCTAAGGGAACTGTTATAATTATTCTATAAGGTTTTTGGAATGGCATTTACCAAGATAGTTGGGAAACTTTAGCTGGTGACTTTGTATGTAATATTTGGCATTTCCTTTCATCTCTTCCCCTATTGCTGTCAGTCTCCACACACCCTCCCCCACGCTGGGCCTTCCAAAAGCAAAAATGTCCGTTTGGGGTACCAAAACTTTTACAAGACTGGTCACGCATGTTTTAGTCTTGGTAAAAAGTTACTGAAATTAAGGTAAGTGTATTCTAAAGCATCGTAATTTTTACTTTTAAGTGTTTTAGCAGCTAATCCTTATAATGTTCAGCCTGGAAGTCTTTTAAATGTAAAAGTACACCTTTTAGATAGATAACGTCCTTCTAATAGCTCGGCCTCAAAGGAAGCTAGAGTACAAATGAGAGTTGTCTTTATTTTTCTGACCATTTATAAGGTCATAAGCAATACACCTTCTGAATTCTTCATTTATGATACTAATCACACAATTACCTACAGGCATGTGTTAAATATGACACTGGTTTCAGCCCAATAATGGGCCAATTGCAAACAATGAATAAAGAGAGGCAGCCCCATTTATAACCCCTGTTTCAACAGAGCTCTATTGTAATCATAGTGATCTGAGGGTGACTCATTAATTAATTGATGTTCTTTTTTATTATGTGCTATTGAGTTAATGAGTAATTTGCGTGAGATAATTCTCTGAACACATTGATTACTTGAGATATTTCCTGGGTCCTTCATACCAATGACATGCTGAATAGGTAGAAGATGGTATTTGCTTTTGTGTGCTCATTATTCCTAGGTTTGAGATGAGTCCAAACCAGCGCAGAGACGCACTAAAATGTTCTGATGTCTGGAGGACCCTAAGTCGGCCCAATAGGAGGCTCTTTGAATGCTGAGGGCAAGGCCTGTCACATAGTAGGTACTCAATAAATGTCAATTGAAATAATGCCTATATTAACATTTTGCTCTCTATTGGCCTTAACTTGCATTGAAATCACATGTAAGAAATATCTATAATGGTGTATTTAAGAAACAGTAGTAATCAAAAGGCTTTTGCTAAAATTGTATTCTGTGCTAATGGCCTATTACAATGAACATGCAGATTGTTTTTGCAACTTGCTGAAGTGAATACTAAACATGTTTGGCCTATATCATTTCAGTGAAATTGTTTAAGTGTCTTTGGTGAGAGGAGCCTGCTTTAAGTGATAGTTAAAAGGAAATCACTTGTGCACAGTATGTTTTACCACAGATATAATTTTCAGCACCCTGTTTCATTGCAGGCACAACATCTCTTCCCTGAAAATGTAGGATTTCGTTGAGGTTTTTTGTTTTGTTTTGTTTTAATTCATTATACGGAAAATAGGAAATTTGAAATTGAGTCTGACGACAGCAACACAGTTCCTTTCAGGAAGATCACTGGAAATTTGTGTAAACGTACAAAATTACACCCAGCAATTTGCTACCTTCCTTTTTGACAGTTTTATTTTTCCCACAAAAGTAAATAACAATAAACTACCTAGCTCAGAGATCTTAAATATAACTTTTGGAGAAAGCATTTGAGGTACCTTGTCTAGGCTTGTTATGATTTACCTTTTGAAAGTAAGTGTCCTTACACACTTTATTCTTTTTTTTCAAGCGGACACAACGTACGCTTTCTAGGTATTATCTTAGATTTTGCCAATTAAGTGCAATCAAAGAATGTAATACCCCTTTTATTAAAAACATAAATCCAGATATAAAAAAAATGAATGAAAGAATCCAGCAGATATTTATTAAGCAAGATGAAAGTGAAATTACAAACACAGGTCAGCTTTTAAACTCAGCCAGCACTCTGGTGGAGTGGAGGTGCCTGGTCCTTCATCATAGGCAGCCTCTCTTAGATGCATGTTAGGAAGGGAGCTTTCAAACTGCTTGAGAAATCAAAGCTCTTTTGGAGGTGTCCTACGGGAGGCATCGGGCAAGAAGCTAAGTGACGTCAGGGCTACACAACACAAAGAGGAAAGGTGACGACAATTCAGGGACTTTGCGTAGTCAAGACAATTAGGTTAGTACTTCAGGTCAAAAATGCTACTACTTATGGGCAATTAGCTATAAAATGACCCATTTCTGTCTGGTTTCACAATTTCATGGAGATTAGAGATAATCTAAAGAGATTAAGGCCTTAATCTTTAATCCAGGTGAGTAATTTTGCTTGTAGTAAAAAAAGCATAAGAATTAATTCCCGAAGGATTTGGGAAAAGAAAAGGCAATAAAAACTTGTTTGGTCTTTGGGTGCAAGGATATTGAACAGCTTCCAGGAGCTAAGAGAAGTTTGTTCCCAATTTACAAGTATTTTGACATATTGATAAACATATGCAAAACCATTTAAATCTAAAAATGATCATTTGAAAAAGATACTGGCAATTACAATTTGACATCCACATGAATTTCAGATACCTCTTAATGGGGGCTCGCAGGGCTGGTTGAGAAAAAACACTTTTCACGGATCCCCTGCCCCCCACCACCTTTTGTTTGGTTTGGGTTTTGGTTTTGGCTATGCGAGTCTTATCATGAAAAAGATGTAAGGCTCGAAGGCTAAAATAATGGTTACTTTGTGGGCCCCAAATAGCTATTTTTGAAATTCTTTTTTTTTTTCCAGTATATCTCAAATCTGGGGGACATGTGACTTGAACACTCTTAACCATGAAGTATTTGTAAAAATACATATCATTCACTTTTCACAGAACTATTTCTGAAAAATGAGAGGCAATATCCAGATTCACATGCATGTTCATAATAAAGCTTTGTTTTAAAACAAAAATCCACACCAGCATTATTTTCAGTTTAATATTTTGGCCCCAAACCAAGAATTAAGGTATCACATTTAATTTTCATCTGCAATGCATCTATTGGCAGGACAAAATATGTATGCAAATAACACCGGGAAATATTTCCTATACAAGTAATCAAAAAAGAAAAGAAAAGAAAAGAAAACCTACAGCACTAAATTTGCTCTAGCAAAAATATGCTTCATTGTGCCTGTGTCAGATTAGATTTGTTGAAAAGTAGTTCTATTACAGGGAGCAGAAGCAAAGAAGCAAAGTGTGAGCAACCCAGAAGAAGGGATCATAGTCTTATTTTTATTTCCTTAATTGTAATTGAAATAATCGGTCTCCATAATTTGTTTCTAGAAACCTTTCTTCTTTATCATCTATCATGTTGGTAAGGGAATAATTTTTCACCTTTAAAACATGGAATGACAGATTTCAGCCTTAAGTGTGATATATATATTCTGAGCGGGTAGCTACTTAAAGAAAGCAGTAAGAGTAAGACATGTCAAACTTTTAAAGTCTTCACTTTTTGAACATTAAAATAAGTGTCAGGTAAATACAGAAAAATATATAATCACCAGTTCTCAGCTCTTTGACAATCCCTTTGTTTCTCTTCTTCTAGAAGATTCTGTGAGCACTATGTTGCTCTGATCAAAAAAGTAAGCTCACCACTCAAATATCATCATAGCTTCAGTATGCATTATCATGGTTTCAGTAGATTTGCACTCAAATCCTTTCAGTGCCAGAAATTTGTCAAGCCATCAAGTTATTAAACCCTTAGCTCTCAGGGAGAAATCTGGGCAAAATTTGTACAAGAAATTTATCATTTTAAAATTATCTCATAATTGTGGTAACACTTGTCTAAAGTAACCCTTTGGAAAAATTTTACATGATACCCAAAGGCACTAGTTTACATAAGGGGTAAGTGGCTGAAAAACAAAACAAAACAAAACAAAGCCATTGTGTAGGTAAAGACACACACACAAAAAAAGGATATTAAAAGGATAATTGCTAAGCTTTAAAGTTATTCTAAAAATGGCACTTTTCACGTTGGTATAAAATGAAAGTGCTTTAAGATGAAATTTTTATGCATTTTTAAAGCTGATCTTTAACCCCCTGAAAATCGGGGGTTATAATGAGAACACTGATAGACTCTAAATCATAGTGGCAATAATAGTGGATGTTGCTAAAATGCTTTGTGTGTGTCTTCATTTCTTCTTCTTCTTTTTTTTTAGTATTTTAATGTTGATAGACTTGCTTTATCTATATGTGCATCATTAGTGAGATTTGCTCTTCAATTCTTTACTAGAAAGTTATAGCTCATTTAAAATAGCTGGTAGATACAGAAAGCATAAATATACAGTAAGTTTAAACACTGATTGTACTAAATGCAACAATACAAAGAAGCAAACAGAACACAAATGGTAACACAATAAAACTGTATTACATTTGTGCTTCAAATATTACAATACATTATATACAATAGTCGAAAATAAACATCTCATGCCAAGTGACACAAAAACGAAGAGCAAGCAAAAAACTCCAGCAATATGTACATTACTTTTTTCTTTAATAATAAACATTCAACTCTGAACTGGGGCAATTTCACTACATACAGATGCAGTCCGCCTTTTATTCCATATAACCATCCTGCTCTCCTATATCTACGCTATTCAGTAGGTTCCTGTGTCAATTCTTATATACATGTGGAGCAAAAAAGATAAAAGAATGTAGTGCTTTGTATTCTTAATGGGGTGATGTTGATAGATCAGCGAACCTGGGGTGCATAACCTTCTTTCATTAAACCTTCTTCGTAGTCCGTCTGGCAAAGGATCATGTTATTCTTTAGGAAAAATTTGTCTCCAACGCAAAATCTGAAAATATTTTAAAAAATAAAATGTTTAAGATCATTTCACTCCAATCTATAGATTTGAAGATTTCTTTTCCTTGTAATAATGTCACACAGTAATTCCCTGAATTTGAGAGCTTGGTTTAGAGAGTTGCCTTTATTGTCAAAATTAAACCGTGTAGGTCATTTAATGAAACATTGCACACAAAATTTGAAATCCTACATTTATATATATAAACAGCATAGGAAAATCGAGGAAAACACCTTGGGCAGCAGAGGTGATTTTTATCACTACTTTGGAAAGAAAAAAAAATAACTGATCTATATTTACAGTCATTAAAATAAAAGAAAGAATGATAATAGTATTTCACTGCAGTGATTATGGAAGATTTCACCATTGGCCATTTATTCACTTTATTAAAAAAAGTAAAAGGCGTTAAAATGTATCCAACAATTAGAAAGAGGCCCATTTTAAAGCTTCCCATTTAAAGCTTCCTTTTACTCTCTGTTATTAAAATGTGATTAAATTCTAGTAATCTGGAAGTGATTGTTCTGAAGGAAAAGTTGTTTTAGCATCAGAGTCTGAAGCTGGGCCATATTCCTTTGTTTGTGGCAAGTTCACCAACTATAAAATATTAAATGTCATTTCTTAGCGCACTCCCAGTTAAACCAAAGGGAGTAACCTGAATGAACTTCTTAATTTTGATGTGATAAATAAACTAGTTTCCAGTGGCTAATTATGTATTTTATTCTATAAAGCACTGTTTAATGTGCAAGATTGTAATGTTTTTAGTAAGTGCTCTTTTTGTATAATTTCCCAGCGGTGACACTTTGGACACAATTAAGGTCAGAAATAAATGCTTGTGCTGTTTCCAGTACATTTAACAATAAAGTAACTCTGGGGAGATCTGTATATATTTTTAATTGTAACAATTTAACCTTCAAACAGCAGTGTCTAGTAGAGTTGACCCAGTAAAACTACTTGTAATTATACAAGTTGACCTCACTGACCTTTGATAGTGGTCTCTCTTTATCAGATAGTCAATTTCGAATGATGTTCAAGCAGAAATCTTAGTGGATAGATTAAATTGTGTAGTGAAAGCAACCCTTTAATGTTTTGTGAAGTTGAAGGTTTAAATGAGGAGCAGTTGGACTGATTTACATTTGCAAAGATTGGAATGCTAGACACACAGTGAACCTATTTATTTTCCAACTGGGTAGCTTTGGAAATTTATCCTTATTCTAGCTAAGTAGATAGAGGGGAAAATAGTGTAATAAAAAAAGTAGATTGAAAAGAATTAGCTTTCCTCTTAAAGGAAGATTGGTCTGTTTGTTTGTGGAATTTACTTTTTTTCCCCAGGATTACTGCCTGCTGATGATGTTGATTGAAAGTACAGACTAAGCGCTGATCTTGAAATCCTGGAGTTTGCGGTCAAGGCTATTGGATAGAATGAACATTCAAGTTTGAACCTTAAGTATATCTTCTTTTTATTAGTTGCAAACTATAAACTTTAAATATTGTGCTTAAAAAGTGGTGTGTGAGTAAATGAGGTTTTGTAGATTATCCTGATCATTAAGACATGTTGAATAAAAGGAAATATTTCTTCTGTTGGACAGACCTAAGTAGCCAAATTAGATACTTATCTTTTATGTGAGATTACATAAAATAACATGTAGGATATATCTGATTACTGTTCAAAACTTTCAATTTATATTACTGTTGTAATTAATTTGAGCTAATAAGCTAATGATAAAATAGCACATAAAATAAATAAATTCAACAAGTACTCTTGTGTTCTAGCTAATATTACTGAGGTCTTTTTTTCCCCCTAAAAACCAACTGAATTGGAAATATTCTTTCAACTCCATATTGACTAAAATTTTGCTTCAATTTTCTAACAAGCCCCCAAATTCTATTCACTGTCAAAAACAAAATTTTTTTTAAAAAATATGCTCTACTTGGGGCTTGAACTCACAACCCAGAAATAGTCACATGCTCTACTGACTGAGGCAGCCAGGAGCCCCAGATAAAACCATTTTTTTGGTCATGTGAAGTTATGTCATTCTTACCTTCAGAAGCCTTGAAATTTAGATAATTTTTGTTTGTAGATTAATAAATTCAGGGTAATTATCATGAGAAAAGCTTTGAACCAAAAACCTAGGGATCTAGTCCTGAGCCCTGATGCTACCCAATGCAAATTATAGGGTTCATTTCCTACTCTCTCTGAGTCAGCTCTGTGTGGGTAAGATAAAACAACTACATCACTGAATTGTAGGGATGTTAAAATAAGAAACATGTGAGAGGCAGAGAGGTATATTGCAACAAATAGAGTTCAAATCCCAACCTTCCACTTATGATACTGAAGATGAAACTTCATTTTTTCTTATCTTTAATATAAGTGACTTTTTATTTATTTATTTATTTTTAAAGATTTTATTTATGTATTTGAGAGAGAGAGCATGAGCAGGAGAGCACAAGCAGGGAGAGCAAGCAGAGGGAAAGAGAGAAGCAGATTCCCCACTGAGCAGGGAGCCCGATGTGGGGCTCGATCCCAGGACCCTGGGATCATGACGTGAGCCGAAGGCAGACACTTAGCCAACTGAGCCACCCAGGCAGCCCAGTATAAGTGACTTTTTAAAGTGTATGGTGAAGAGTAGAAATGAAGTACGTAAGCCTTACTTTAATATTTGGAGTGTAGATAATTAAAATAGCCACCTTTTATAAAACACTTACCATGTGCTAATGCTAAGCATGTGTATACATGATTACTTTTATTCCTTATGTTCAACTGAGAAAGTAAATATTATTATGGCCTTTTTCAGATGAAAAACCTAAGGCTTCCTCCCAGAATTAAACAACAAAAAAATTGCCAAGTTTCCATAACTAGAATGTGTATGAGAGAGAAAGGAAGGGGACTCTGGTCCCTTTGGGCTCAAGACCCATGCTTTATGTGGAAGAAGAAAAGCATAAGGCTATGAAGTTAATACAGGCTTTTTGTATTGCTAATATTCCTTTGCATAACTTTAAAAAAAGTCTACCTACCATTCAATGAGATGTTGGTAATATAAATGGGACTCATTTAAAATAGTCCTACCTAAAATATTTTGTTGCTAATGTTGTCAACTGGACAAAGTACATTTTATGGGCATTTCAATTTATACTGGAAAGTCAAGACAAAACAGAACATGGGTGAGAAATGTCACACTTACGCATATAACTTAAAACAGTTTTGAAAGCTATGGTTAAAGTAGATTATAACTGCTTTGCGATTAGGATTGGTACACTCCTTTTTTTTTTAAGATTTATTAATTTATTTGAAAGAGAGAGAGAGAGAATGTGGGGGGGGGAAGTGGGGGGCAGAGGGAGAGGGAGAGAGAAACCCAAGCAGACTCTACACTGAGCATGGAGCCCAACGCAGGGCTCGATCTCATGACCCTAAGATCAGGACCTGAACCGAAACCAAGAGTTGGACGCTTAACTGACTGAGCCATCCAGGTGCCCCTGGATTGGTATACTCCTTTAAGATGTTCCATATATAAACATGAAGAAATTAGAGAAACAGTAATGCAGATGTTAGATGCTTAACAAAATAATCTATAACTGATCTTGTGAGAAAGTCTAATTTCCAATGTTACGAGCTCCTTATGAGATTTAGCACTGGCAGAAAAAATATTATAGAAGCAGTGATGGCCAGAGGATACTGTAAGTATATTAATAGGTCAGGCTAAAATTCCTGAAAATAAGCTGATAATCTTCCTTGTAATCTAATCCTAATTGCTTGTGGTGTAGTCAGTTCAATTAATTTTGCCTTCATTAAAAAAAAAGAAGTATGTTAAGGAATAAAAAGATGCCCAATCAGATTACTCAGTCATTTAATCTTGGTGTTTTGGCGTTAATAATAATAGATTTAATTTCCAGATATTTTTGGAGTGATCCTAATTGAACTCATACAGTCTTAGAGACTTGAGAAGTACAGAAAATAAATATAATTAACAAATCACCCTTATAAAATATGGGGCTTAGAGTAGTTTTAAGCAAGTTACCAACAGCTTCTGCAAAGCCTCCATTTGTAACCTCCTTTTCACATCCTTTCTAAGGATGGAAATGTTAACTTAGTCATCTTATTTCCCTGAGGTCAGTGGCTATCAATTATAATTAGTTCCCAACTCCACAATACTTTAGAAAGGGTGGGGGGGATCCAGTCCATATTTCAAATGTCTCTATTTTCTATGTAGCATCCTCAGCTACTAAAGATGGAGATTTCGATGCTGCACTTTGTTCTCAATAAGAGGTACTGTTTATATACCCATCGTCCCACCTCTATACGCTGTGAACGAATTTACTCTCTTCTCCCAAAGACTGTCCAGTTGTCATTACATACTTCATTCCTGATTCAATCCTTTTCTGCACCAAGTTACACTACCCACAGCCCGAAACCCACTACAAATTATTCAAAGTCTACCTTGCTTTAACTTCATCATATCTATTCTCATTTATATCCACTCAGTCAGAAAATAAAATACCCCTCTTGAAAGAGTCCAGGGCCCTCATATCAGCTCTGAGTTTAGAGACTAAAGCCAGACTGTCTGGGTTCACATTTTGAGTCTACCATTTTCTATCATTGTTTTCTGGGGCAAGTTACTTAAATTTTCTGTACTTTAGTTACTTCACTTGTAAAACGAGGGTAATAATAGTATCTCATTTTATTGAGTATTAAATGAGCACATGTAAAACAGAACAGTATCTGGTGTATGATCATCATTATATAAGAATTCTGCTATCATTATTATTTGTTAATGATAATCTTTTCACCTTTGCTTAAGTCATTCCTTAACCAGGACTATTTCTCCCTTTTTTCCATCTGTTTAAATTCTAAAAATTCTTTAGTTTCCATTCCCTCCATCAATATTCCCTGACCATGCCAACTCATTCTGATCTTTCCCAAAGCGCTTATTTATTGGCATATCATTTAGTTTGGCATTTCAGATTTTCTCATGAATGGGTAACAAGTTTCCCAATCTAGA